GGTGAGGTGGAGGTCCCAATCGGTTTGGCGAGCGTTAACTTGTGCACGAAGGGCGTCTTCAAGCGTGCGGTTCATCCGTTCAGTTTGTCCGTCCGTTTCAGGGTGATATGCGGTAGAAAATTTCAGCCGGGTGCCGTGAAGCTTAAAGAGGCTTTGCCAAAAGTTGCTCAAGAAGCGAGGGTCACGGTCTGAAATGATGGCGGATGGGAGGCCGTGTAAACGGACTATGTGATCGAAGAAAAGCCGGGCTGTTTCGGGTGCGGTGACGGTTGTGTGCGTGGGGATGAAATGGCTCATTTTGGAGAGTCGGTCAACGACGACTAGGATGGCGTTGTAGTTGCGGGGTGTGCGGGGCAGGTCCATGATAAAGTCCATGGTGACTTCATCCCACACCTTGGTAGGTGGAGGGATAGGTTGAAGGAGTCCGTAGCGGTTGGTGGTGCGTGCTTTGAGTTGTTGACAGGTTCGGCATGTGCGTATGAAGTCACGCACATCAGCGTGCATGCGTGGCCAATGGTAGTCGTTGGAAAGGCGTGCGTAGGTCTTCTCAACACCAAAGTGGTTGCCGGTGTCATGGTATTCGGGAAGTAGCAGCTGCCGTAAGGAGCGATCAGCAGGGACACAAATGGTCTTTGTAACGGCGTTGTACCAAAATGGGTCTTCAAATGAGTAGGCCGGGTCCTCGGGTGCTTGCTTGACAAAAAACAGGTCACGTTTGTAGGCGCGCTGAAACTTTGTGATGAAGGTATCATCCCATGTGATGCTGCTGGTTCCATGGAGTTGCAAGGGTGGGTTGGGAGTTTTAGGTGGAGGAGATGAGGTGGGGCTGGTTGGGGAGTGTTGGGGCTGGTTGGTGGGTGGGTGGGGCTGGTTGGTGGCTGGTGGGGCTGGTGGTGGTGGCCGTGACAAGATGTCGGCTGGATTGAGCTTCCCGGGGTGGTAGATGATCTGAAGCGATGGGACAAACTGCTCCAAGAACTCAACCCATCGGGCTTGGCGGCGGCTGAGCACGGGCTGCGTTTTCAAGTGTTGAAGTGGGCGATGGTCGGTGTAGACGGTGACGGGCTGCAGCTCCACGTAGCAGCGCCATGTCTTGATTGCATGGACAATGGCAAGGAGCTCCCGATCGTGTGTTGCGTAGTTGCGCTCTGCCGGTTGAAGCTTGCGTGACTCGAATGCGAGTGGCTGCATCCCATGTCCGTGGTCTTGGCAAAGAATGGCACCAACAGCGACATCGGAGGCGTCGGTCCATATGAAGTATGGCCGTGATGGATCAGCAACGGTTAGGACCGGTGCAGAGGTGAGTGCCGATTTGATTGCGGTGAAAGCGGTCTGCTGCGGTAGTCCCCACTGAAAAACAGCTCCTTGGCGGAAGAGATCGGTCAACGGAGCGCAGATGTGAGAGAAGTTGAAGATGAACTTTCGGTAATACTTGGCGAGGCCGATGAAACTTTGCAGCTCCACTAGCGTGCGTGGTGCTGGCCAATCAGCAAGGCACTGGACCTTTGTGGGGTCCATAGCAATGCCTTTGGAGCTGATGACGTGGCCAAGAAAGCCGATGCTTGAACGGGCGAAGGTGCACTTGGAGAGCTTGGCGTAGAGGCGGTGTTGGCGGAGCGTGTCGAGGACGATGCGTAGGTGCTGAGCGTGTTCCTCGAGTGACTTGCTGAAGATGAGGATGTCATCGAGGAACACGATGACAAAGCGGTCGAGGAAGGGCCGAAAAATATCGTTCATGAGTCCCATGAACGTGGCTGGTGCGTTGGTGAGACCGAACGGAAGTACTCGGAACTCGAAGTGGCTGTAGCGAGCGGGTTCGAAACGCCGTCTTGTTGATGTCGTCTTCGGCGAGGCGGATCTGGTGGTAGCCGGAGCGTAGGTCAAGCTTGCTGAAAACCGTTGCTTCCCCAAGCATGTCAAACAACTCCTCGACACGGGGCAGCGGGTACTTGTTCTTGATCGTGATGGCGTTGAGGGCGCGGTAGTCGATGCAAAGACGCAGGTCACCTTCCTTCTTGCGAGTGAAAAGTACGGGGGCAGCGTATGGCGAGGTGCTTGGGCGGATGAAACCCTTCTCAAGAAGGCCATCAAGTTGTCGGCGTAGCTCCAAAAGTTCAGCGGTGCTCATGCGATAGGTTGGGCGCACGGGCGGTGTAGAACCTGGAATGAGGCGGATGCTATGGTCAATAGCACGTTCGGGTGGAAGTTCGGCGGGTAGATCATCGGGAAAAACGTCCTTATAACCGTTTAGAAGATTCTGAATTGTTGGTGGCAGAGGGGTAGCTGATGCTTCAGATTCGGGAGCCGTGAAGATGACTAGGAGATGATGAGGAGGAGGTGGTGAAGGAGGGGTGGGGGCTGGTGGGTTGATAACTTCAGAGAAAGGGCGGAAGAGGTAACGGCGTGGCTGCTGGGTTGGGTGGGGTGGGGAAGGAGGAGGTGTGTTGATGACTTCGGGGGAGCCGGGTGGTGTTGGCTGCTGCGCGGGGGCTATGAGAGGAGGAGGAAGAGGGGGGATATGGGAGGCTGGGGTTGGGGCAGGTTGGGGTGGATGGGTTGATGAGGCTGAAGTTGTTGGGGATGACCATGGGCGGCGGTAGGAGCGGGATGGGAGGTCGTAGTTGCCGACGGTGACATTTTCGTTATGGTCCAAGCTGGTACAACCACGGTCCAAGCTGGTACAACCACGGTCGTCCGAGCACGCCTTCATAGCCGCCGAGGTGCATTTGCTCGAACGTGACCGTCGCCTCCAGACTTCCGAACATGCAGTGCACGGGGAGGAGAGTAGGTCCGCAGCGCCGCCGAGTACCATCTGCCATGATGACGTCCTGTGGGTTGCTGTTGGGATCTTCGGGAAGAGAAAGTTCAGCCACAATAGAGGGAGAGAGAAAGTTTGCTGAAGCGCCGGTATCGAGTAGAAAGTCAACATAGCGATCCTTTATTTTTGCCCATAGAATGATAGCGGGGAATGGGGCGTTTGATGTGGTGTAGAGTTCGGAGGTGCCGATGGATAATGGGGTCGGGAGAAGCGGGGAATGAGATGCGCCAGAGGTCTGCCCCACTGCTACTGGCGCTGTCCGTTTCCCGGAGACCTTTCGAAGTTGCGGCGGTTCGGGCAGTGTCGCTTGATGTGGCCGACTTTCCCGCACGAGTAGCACGTGAGCGTGGATTGGTTGCGTGTGCGCTGGTCCACCACACCGAGCTCCATGGGAGTAGGACCGTTGGTGCGGATAATAGGACCAGCCACTGCGTGCTGCCCGGTTCGCCCTTGGAATCGCTGGTACGCTGCAAAGTTGATGGTGTCAAAACGCTCGGCGACACGAATCATCTCATCCAACGTCGCAGCGCCACGAAGTTCAACCTCGGTGCGGATTTTCGGCTTCAGCCCACGCTTGATCTTGTCCATCTGTTCAGCAGCAGGGATGTCAGGAATCTCAAGCACGAGCTCGCGGAAGCGATTGATGTACTCAGCGACCGAGCGGTGTTGGCGTAAATCAGCAAGGTTGTCACGCGCGCGCTCGATGGCGTTGACCGGTTCGAAGTTCATTAGGAGCGATGCAGAAAATTCTTCCCATGTTGAAATTGTAGCGTGGCAGCTCTGCCACCAAGTAGCAGCAGCTCCCCGCAGCATCATGCCGGCGTGCCGAGCCCACTCCGCCCGGTTGACATGACAAAGGGAGAGGTATTCCTCCACTTGGAAAAGCCACCGTCGCACCGGTAAGTGACGTTTTCCAGGGATGAACGGTTCAGGTTCGGGTGCCTTCGGTCGTGCAGAAACCACAGCAGGTGCTGGCGCCGGCACCTGTGTGCCCAGGAGTCCACGTTCCTGGAGTTCGCCGAGAATCCGGTCACGCACCTCGCGTTCAATCTCTCGGCGCATATTAGCAACAAACTCGTTCCAGAGTTCCGGCGTCATATCCGACGGCCCAGCCATAGGGTCTAGAATATGGCAGGAGCGTGCGAAATAACAAACCAGGCTCTGATTACCAGTGAAACGTTGCTGGCAGGGAGATAGTAGCCTTAGTAGGCTTGGAGAATGAGTATAGAGTGCTCTCTGGAATTTTCTGGAAATTGCATTATGACTTCACAAATTTCAGAGTACAATTTTATAGAGCACATTCAAACATCGAGTCGCACTCCCAAGTCGCGACTTTCTCTGAATTTCTCAATGGTAACCCAACCCTTTGAAATGAACCTGCCGTGAAATTCAGAGAATTATTGCGGTACGGGATTGGCCGGCGAGCTTGGTTACGGGGCTGTAATTTCGTCGGTGTTGTTGGCGAAGTCGGCGAGCGGTCGGAACTTTGGTGTCCTGCGTTTCGTAATTTTCGTGCGTGGGATTGACTTGGGCTGCGTGTCGGAATCTGGTCGCCCAGCTGCAGGTTGAGGCGTTTGACCAATCCGAACTGTAGGTGAGGTGGCGCTTGACTTCCGCCCACCTGCACTGTTCTTGGAAGTGTGTTGCTGCACTGTTACGAGTGACTTCCGCCCACCTGCATTGCAGTTGGCAGCATTCGGCTGCTGCACTGTTACATTCACTCTCTATTTGTGCGCCTCACTCTACAGTTGCCTTCCTCACCAGTTGACCTTTGGCCATCGCTGCACGCCCGGAATCCGAAAGCGGCTCCGCTCTTCCTCGCCTGTTGCTCCCCTGCTCGGTGCGGAAGCGACGCTCTTGCGATTTCCGCACCGTCTCTCGGCATCGCGCTGCATTTTCGTGAGCTCCCTCGCTCTCTCGCTTCTTTCCTTCCAATCGCACTGCGGACGCTGCGGAATCCAACGTCGCTTCGCATCTCGCCGCTCCCACTCTTGCGATCCCGCACAGTCGCTCCGCAACTCGCTGGAATCGCTCCCGTACTGCCCTTCCGCTCCACTCCCGTGCTACCCTGCCGTATTGCACCTGCCTTACCGGTCGGTCCGTGCTCCCTGTTTTTCGCTCTCTCCCCCCTCTCAAACCTTCCGCTCTCACTCTCTCAAACCCTCTCTCAAACCATTGATCAATGGTTCCGCGCCTTCCCTACGTGCTCGCTTCCGCGCCTTCCCTACGTGCTCGCTTCCGCGCCTTCCCTACGTGCTCGCTTCCGCGCCTTCCCTACGTGCTCGCTTCCGCGCCTTCCCTACGTGCTCGCTTCCGCGCCTTCCCTACGTGCTCGCTTCCGCGCCTTCCCTACGTGCTCGCTTCCGCGCCTTCACTACGTGCTCGCTTCCGCGCCTTCCCTACGTGCTCGCTTCCGCGCCTTCCCTACGTGCTCGCTTCCCCGCCTTCCCTACGTGCTCGCTTCCGCACCTTCCCTACGTGCTCGCTTCCCCGCCTTCCCTACGTGCTCGCTTCCGCGCCTTCCCTACGTGCTCGCTTCCGTGCCTTCCCTACGTGCTCGCTTCTCCGCCTTCCCTACGTGCTCGCTTCCGCGCCTTCCCCACGTGCTCGCTTCCCCGCCTTCCCTACGTGCTCGCTTCCCCGCCTTCCCTACGTGCTCGCTTCCCCGCCTTCCCTACGTGCTCGCTTCCCCGCCTTCCCTACGTGCTCGCTTCCATGCCTTCCCCACGTGCTCGCTTCCCCGCCTTCCCTACGTGCTTGCTTCCGCACCTTCCCTACGTGCTCGCTTCCCCGCCTTCCCTACGTGCTCGCTTCCGCGCCTTCCCTACGTGCTCGCTTCCGCGCCTTCCCTACGTGCTGGCTTCCCCGCCTTCCCTATGTGCTCGCTTCCGCGCCTTCCCTACGTGCTCGCTTCCCCGCCTTCCCTACGTGCTCGCTTCTGCGCCTTCCTGCGCTCTGCCATCCGCTCCTTCCCTGCTCGCTGCCTTACGCTCTCTCCCCTCCCTGCCCTTCCACTGTCTACCACTCGCTGCCCTTCCTCTCTCTCCCCCTCGTTGCCCTGCCTCTCTCTCCCCCTCGTTGCCCTCCCGCTCTTTCCCTCTCGTTACCCTGCCTCTCTCTCCCCATCGTTGCCCTCCCGCTCTCTCCCCCTCGTTGCCCTTCCGCTCTCTTCCCCTCGTTGCCCTTCCTCTCTCTCCCCCTCGTTGCCCTTCCGCTCTCTCCCCCTCGTTGTCCTTCCTCTCTCTCCCCCTCGTTGCCCTTCCGCTCTCTCCCCCTCGTTGCCATTCCTCTCTCTCCCCCTAGTTGCCCTTCCTCTCTCTCCCCCTCGTTGCCCTTCCGCTCTCTCATGCTACGCTGCCCTTCTGCTCCTTCCCTGCTCCCTGCCCACGCTCCCTCCTCCCCCCCTGTTTTAGGCCTCCTCCTCCCTGCTTTACCCTCTCTCCTCCCTCCCTGCTTTTTGCTCTCTCCTCCCTCCCTGCTTTACGCTCTCTCTCCCCTCTCTGCCCTTCCGGGTTCTCCCTGCGCTCTGCCTTCCGCTCTCTCCCTGCTTCCTGCTCTTCCGCTTTCACCCCCCTCTCTGCCCTTCAGCTCTCTTCCTACTCGCTGCTTTCCGCCCTCTTCCCCCCCGTTTTCCTTCCGCCCCATCCCCACTTGCTTCCCTTCCGCTCTCTCCCACCCCGCTGCTTTTCCTCTCTCCACCATCGCTTCCCTTCCGCTCTCTCCCTGCATTCTTCCTCCACTATCGATATACTTCCTGCCTTAAACTCTCACCGTCGAAACCTGTCGGTCACTGTGTATAAAGAATGACCACGTAGGCGCACATAGGCCTCGGAAGCGAGGAGTTGAGGCCAGATGGCTGCTCCATTCGCGGAGCATCTGGATGGCGTGACGGCCTCATGGATCCCGGGATCCAACATGTTGCTTGGGTGCAAACTTCCCACTGCTAACACGACCCAAACCTCCCATTTTCCACTTCCACAACTCTCTCATGCCTGCAGCGCGCAGCCTCGCCCTCCCCTCGCCAGCCGTCCGTCTCTCGTCGGCACCGCCATGGCACAGTACGGGCCGCGTTCCGCCCTTGAAGCTGCCTCGGCCGCGATCCTCGCTGGCCTCGTTGCGCTCACTCTCCTCGCACGCACCTGCAGCGCTGAATACGGTGACTCAGTGATGGATTTCACGGAATTCGATGGCAATTCAGAGCGTTTCAGGGAACGTGTGGATTATATAAAGTCTGCTTGCGGAAACATGGACCAGAGCAGGTTTTCCACTGGGATCACAGTCCGCATGTTTATCCTGTGGGACATTTTCCATTCAGCGGATATCCAGTGCGGCAACATCACCTTCTATTCCAGCCCAAGCTGACAAGGAGATCCCTTCGTGACCCACCTGCGTCAACCGCCGCCAGGAAGCGCTACTCTCTTGTGAGTTCCTAGAGGTTGAAAGTACATCGCCGCCCTTTCAAAGCAGTTGGACGGCTGGTTTTGGTTCTCTTGTTGCGGATCTCTTGCCTCTCTTCCATCCACCTCTCTCTCTGCTCCCTGTCACCACCCTTTTTCCCCTCTGCTCCCCTGTGTTCCCGTGCCACCACCATACCCTCGCTGCTGTTCTCAGGACTTGTACTATCTGCCCCTTCTACATGCACCCATGCTTCCCGCATGACCCATCTCACTGTATTCCCTCCAACTTTTTCCCACTTATTCTCCAAACTCTTCCTTCACTTCCACCCCTCCCCCCACTGCATGTGGCAGCTGTATGCACTACTGCCTGCCCTGCTAATGCGGAGTGCAAGGAGGTGAAAGGGAATCCGGCATGTCAGTGCAAGGCGGGGTTCCAAATGGCAGATAACAAGTGCTCACGTAAGGATCAAGACACATGCACCTCCACCACCACTTCAGCTTCTAAGCTTGTGCACTCATGACCAACATGGCTGCACATTTTTGTCCCTGAGAATTGCTGGTACATTCATCCAGCTCATTTTTGTCATCGAGGCTGTACAACCCCATCTCTTTCCCACTCATTGATTTACATTCTTCCCTCTGTCGCGCTCTCCCCATCAAATATGGCAGCCATATGCAAAGGTGGCTGCCCTGCTGATTCCCAGTGCAAGGTCGTGAGAGGAAAGGCGGCATGCCAGTGCAAGGCGGGGTTTCAAATGGATTATAGCAACAAGTGTACTTGTAAGGAACCGAAAGGAATAGGGAGAGGGAGAGGAGACGCAGAGGCGGGATCAGAGGGACAGGTAGACGGAGGATATCTTCCCTTTCCTGTCTCTTCATTGTATGGTGTATCATTAGCTTCCCACAACGGTATTGTCACCCCACAAGCTTATCACCCCACGATCTATGTCTCCACCATCCACCTTCTTTCTTTTCTTGCTACTCACACCGTTTCATCTTCAATCTCATGTCACTTCAATCCCGTTGAATCATGTCTACACTGTGGCCTGCCCTCCTGTTCGCCCTCTCGTTGCATCTCAGAGAGCTGATCATGCTCACAACGAAGTAGTTGGAGGTCAAGGGAAGGAGGCGCAAGCTGGCAGCTTCAGAAGGTCATGCAATCTGTGGGTGCTGGTGTTGCAGAGGTGTAAGCAACTGCACATGCGATCAATTCTTGGATTCGAGTGGACTTTTAAAGGGAGGGGGAGGGGGGGTTCATCTCTGTATTGTATTCAACGCTGTAGGCATGTAAGTTACACGGAAGTGTTTTCCTTGTCGAAGGGAATGGGTTTAGAAATTTGTCACTTACAATAGCTGGGTCTCAGAAATAGAATGCAACGGAATGTTGTGACTAGGAAAGCAAGGCGGTACAAATATGATAACCTAACTGAGTTGTACTCACTAAGGAGCACTTCACTTCAGCCTATAATAAATAATAACATTTGACACACCCCCATAGGCTAAGTGAGGGGCATCAAAGCAAGCAGTGTTATTAAACGGTCACAAAACCAGTCAATAGAAGAAGCAAAGCAAGCTCAGGGTGGATCTCAAGGACACCACACAAATTCCGAGCACAAGCAAGCGGCCACAAGGCCAGTTCAAGAGAGCACATCATATAAAAAGGCAATGACAAGCAGAACACGCAACAAGAGCAACACTACAGCAACCGTGGGCCTACCTCAACAAGCCCTAGCTGCACACAGAACCTGTGGTGGTCCCCAGAGGCCAAGGTCTTTGAGGCCACAAAGTCCAAGCACGCCTGGCCGCGTCGCTGTAGCTCTCGCAAAAGAAAGTACCTCACGTCAATATGCTTCACTCTGCCCTCCAATCGAGGCTCTCGACACAGGAGGATCATGGCCTTGTTGTCAGCGTACAAGGTCGGTGCAGAGCGAGGCCGCTCACCAAGGTCGGTGAGCAAGAAGGTCAACCAGCGAAGCTCCTGTGCCGCCATGGCACCAGCGTAGATCTCTGCCTGTGCACTGAACGAGGCCACAGACGACGAACGTCTAGACCTCCACGACACAGCACCAGCACCCAAACTGAAGCAGTAATCCTGAGTCAAACGCTTAGTCTCCACGTAGGAAGAGTCGCAGTGACCGGTCAGCACAACTGGCTGTGTCCCTCCAAGCACAAGCCCCATGCCTGATGTAGTCGCCAGGTACTTCGCCACCCTCACAGCAGCTGTCCAGTGAACAGGACGGTGTCTTCCAGTCGCAACAAAGTGAGAGGACGCTGAGGGGAAAGGCGAGGTCCGGCCGAGTACAAGTCATCAGGTACATGAGGCAGCCCACGAGCTCTGCGCTTCTGGCTGGGGCGCGCATGCTTGGGGTTGCAACCATGAAAGCGTAGTGAAAACCCCTTGTCATTAACATGTGGGGAGGGACTCCGTTATGCATACTGTATTACATTGCCCAACAATTCGCCGTTTTCCTCGCCAATCACCGGAACCTCTTATCGGGCTTCAACCCGCACTTCATGCCAAAACTCTCTTTTTTTCTTCTTTTTCTTTTTTCTTTGTAAATGGCGGACCCAACCCAACTCTTAAAAAATAGCTCCACTGAAGGCACATAGCACTGTCCATCTCCCACCGTCCCCAAGACCAGCGGCGACAACCCACCCTCTTCTAACTGGTAGTCGTACATCACGACATTAATTGCCTTGGGACGCGTGTCCCACAGGTCGACTGGGGCAGAGGAGGGAAATACGGTAGAGTGCGGAGTGACAGGAACATATGGGAAACGGAGGGGATAAAGAACGGAGGAGGGTATATAGAGTGTGCAATGTGTGGGGGAGGAGAGATTGAGTGGAAGCGGTTTGAGTGTGGAAGTTCAGTTGTGTTGCATTGGCAGGAAGCAACTGGCAAGCAAGTTAGGGAAGGTCAGCCTGCTGTTTCACATACACTTTGCTAGTTTCTCTAGTGGGTCAACCAGCACCAAATGAGGCATAGAGAAATCGGGTCCCAAAGGGATCAAGGCTTCGAGGGCTCAATGCCTAGAGGGCTCGAGGCCCAATGGGTTCAAGGCCCAGAGCCTTAGAGAGGGTTCGACTCACATAGGGTTTGATGTCCAGAGATACTAGACTGTGGCAACGTAGGACAGATGCACAGAGAGTCTAAGGCTCATAATTCCAAAAAGCATAGGGTTTGAGACAGAGAGGCACGAAGACATGGAGGCAAGGAGGCAGCAAATCACGAATGCACAGAGGCATGGAGGCACGGGATCGCGAAGTCGTGGAGTCGCTGCGGCACGTGAAATGTTTAATCTTCGGAGCTATTGCTGGAGTAATGGGTGCTTGTATGTCAGTAGTGAAGACGTCTAAAACATTTCACTCACTTCATTGAGTCATGAAGTCATTGAGGCAAAAAAGCAGGGGGCCAGGGCGTTAGGGAGGCACACTAAAGTGGGTTGCTGCACGTCCTTGAACAAGGCAACGAGCGGTAAAGAAGAGGCACCAGCGCTGGTGTAGGGTGATGAGATACGTGCGGCTCACCTTTTGTAGGCAGCAGAGTAGACTGGCCCTTTTAGGAAGACATGTAATAACGGATGGGTGGGTGGGTGGGTGGTGGGAACTTACGAGGCTCTGGGTAAATGGGGGAATGAAAGGGCGTGTGGGGGCACCTTCAGATGTGTAATTTCTGTGACGATGCTTGAGAAAATGAAGGCATGAAATGACACTCATGCTTGTTGCCACCCTCACCTTCGCACTCCTGCCCACTGCCACATATGCATAAGCTGGGAGCTACGCTTTCTAAAGCCATAAGAAAGACTCTACATGGAAAATGGGGTTTGTGCATTCTTCTTTAGTGACTACAAGTCTATGAGATCTCTTTGCAATCAACTACACGAATAGGGATAATGTAGCGAGCGTGGTAGAGGACTCAAAATGTCTACAGCGACAACCTACTCCTGATTCTTCGGCACAACAGAGATATTATAGAATGTGTTCAAGTGTTTGTCGCACTCCTCTTGTGTTAACGTCATCATCACCAGCAATGCCTGTGCGGCCTTCCCTGCGGGCGAGCTAGTGACCAACGACACGGCTGTTGTCATGCGCTTCATTGTTAACCACCAATGCGCCTGCCTACTTGCCACGCCCATTCCTTTGAGCCTTGTATTGAGAGCTTGCTTGGGTAGACAAACAATTCTTCCATGTGCTCCACATATCATGCTGTCAGAATGTTATATTGTCTAGCCTGCAGTGGGGTACTCTATAGCGAGTACAGCCCAATCTAGGGTTTGCTATTTGTACTCAACTGCCTGCTAGTTCAAACCCTCTTTCTGTTCCTAACTTCTGCCTAGCTTGTTTCGACATGCTATCAGAGCAGGTC